GAAACTCATACCCCCGGCTGCTCGGAGCAAATGTGCCCAAGGGACCCTGGGCACTGGGAGAGGCTTTTCCTCTCCCTTCTCCTGCCATCACATCCCTGCCAAGGGCCAACCCGGATGGTTTTTGGGAGTCCAGCCCCTGTGAGGAGCAGCATCATCCACGGGGTTAATTCCACAACTGGAGATTTGCACAACCCAAGCTGCTCAGAGCAAGCCCAAGGCACCTCGGGCACTGGGAAAGGATTTTCCTCTCCTTCCTTCCCTCCTTCCATTACTTCCCTGCCAAGGTTTCCATCCCCTTGCCGGGCTGGGTTTGCTGCTTAGCCTCACTGGGATTGCACAGAAATCTTGGCTCAAATTAACGATGCAACCAAGCCACCCTAAATCACTTCAAAAGAAATGCATCACTCCTGGCCGCTGGTTTTTAGGGGAAAATTCACCATTCAGAACAGAATGGAGGGAGAAGAGTCCTTGGAGAAGAGTCATGGAAGCACAAAGAGCCTCTAACACATGCCCAGGGCACCTCCCCTTCCTTCCACTGAGTCACGAAATCATGGAATGGTTTGGAATTGGAGGCAACAATAAAGCTCATCCAGTTCCCTTGGCAGTGACACCTTCCACTGTCCCAATGTCCAGCCTGGCCTTGGGCACTGCCAGGGCTCCAGGGGCAGCCCCAGCTGCTCTGGGAATTCCATCCCAGCCCCTGCCCACCCTCATGAGGAGGAATTTCTTCTCAATATCCAAAGAAAATTCCCATTCCCTTCCACTGGCTGTAGCATCCTTCAAATGACACATCCTTATCAATCCAAACTCCAAATAAATATTTGATTTTAAACTCGATCAATTGACCCCTTTTTTTCCTGTTGATTGCTGATGGATTTCTCCTGTTTTCATCCCATCTGGCAAACTCTGCTTGTTGTGACTCCAGGATCTGATCCCACGTCCCCTGCAGCATTCCAAAGGCTTGGATCAGAACCTGGACGCCTGCTTAATACTGGTTTTACGACCCTGCTGAAGGGCAGCATCCTCTGTTTTGCACATACTTTTATAATTTTGAGTGCATTTCAGTCAAAAAAATAAAATCCATTTCAACCAAGTGCTCAAATAACGCAGCCTGCACAGAAGGAGCAAAATTCTGGCTTGGGAAGACCAATAAAAATAATTGGATTTGGAATCCCGGCCAGTAATTTTTGGAGTTTGAGTATTTTTGAGATTTTTGTCTTAGAGTGATTTTTTTTTTTTTTTTCCCTGGGAATGATATCCAGAAGGAAGAGTCCTGAGGGCAGAAATTGTGCTTGGTAAAATCTCTCGTGTTCTACAAAGCTACACCTGCTTTGGCTCCGTGGAAATTGAAAAATGCCACAAAATTTACTCCAATTCCTCTAATCCTGAGGAAATATCTGCATGGATTTAATTTTCCATCCTTTCCAAGGTGCAGTTTTTAAAACTCTCCTGGAGCTGCAACTCTCAGGTTTAGATTGAGATCTCTTGCAGCAAGCCAAGACACTTCTCCATTAGCTACTCTTAGGATAACCCATTAATAATCATTTTCATCTGGAAAACATGTTTATTTGTTGGGATTTTTGGAATCTTACATCCTCCAAAGAAGATAGGAACCGGGATTAATGATTCCATGAGGAAAATATGTCGTGTTCCCCAAGCCACAGAGCTTTCCCTCTCCAAAATAACTATTTATTTTTCATTTTAGCCAATGAACTTCTACAATGTCAGGCTTTTTGCATCAGATCCATTTCATCAGAGTGACCTAAACTGGTTCTTTATCCCCTAAAAAAACAGGGATACGTTGCAGCAGGCGCAATTGGAAGCACGGAATGTTCGCGAACGGAGGGCGAAAAATCAGGATTAATTTTGTTTTAAGCAGGTAATCAGGCCAAGGGGGGAGGCTGAGATTGGCTGGAGTTTTAAAAGGACATTTTTCTTCCCGAAATGACTCCCGAGCCAGACGGGCAGGTTTGCCCAGCAGCATTCTCCAACTGAGGGCTGAGGAATCGGAGCCTTGGATCCCGGCCAAATCCAATGGAAATCCCTTTGGATGAGGAAGAAAAAGCCAAATTGCTTTTCTACCACATCTCCAGGTTTTGGGTGACCTGTGACAGTCTCACTTCTATTTTTGGTGTGAAGAAAACCGAATGTTTTGGGTTTTTAGCTCTCAGCAAGGCTGAGCAGCACGGGGCAAACTCTGGGCGTTGGGCACGGAACGAGGCTGAAACTTTGGCTGATATTTGGGGCTAAATATTGATGAGGGGAAAATCAGCCCCCAGATCACGGAGGATTCACTGTGACCCTCCCAAAACCAGGAGGAAAACATGGAAAATAATCTCTGATACAGACTGTCTTGCTGCATTCCACGGAAGAAATTGAAATGATTTATGAAGCGTGTCAAGAATGGGAATTTCCTCCTCGGAAGGGACAGAGCTGTGGCTGCTGAGGGGATTTTAATGGGGATTCTGATGATCGCCACTCAAAACCATTCCTGATTCTCCATCAGGGATTTCAAGCAAGGACTTTAAATCCCCTGAGGGACACGAGAAGCCTCCACCGTGGCCTGAACCGAGGTGAACTCTCAGTCCCTGCTCGCACAACGCCCCTGGCACCGCATTATCACCGGTGGCACTGAGCTGATCCCAGCTCAAATATTCCACGGCAAACAAAGTCGGGGTTCATTTTCCTGCAGCCAAGTATCAAAGGCAGCAGTGCCCTTTGAAGCAGCCACCTTGTGCTGCAGGCTTTGTGCAAATGCCACAGAACAGCAGCTCCCAAATCCCGCACAAAGGCAAACAATCCCCACCTTTGGAAAACAATCCCCTGGCGGAGGAGTAAACAAAAGCATCCATTAGTCACCGCCCCAAAGATGGGCAGGTGAGGATGTTGAACCTGGGAGCCTGACTAAGAGCACGCAGCAGCGTTCCCAAATCCCTGCACTTAAAGGATCCTCAGCACCTGGCTCTGGATAGCACACCTAGAAAGCCCAGGTTGGCGTGTGAGCGGCTGAAGGAGCAGGGCAAGGGTTCCCTGCTCCCAAGAAATAGGGCCTGCCGTGTCCCAGCTGCTGGATTTTGACCTTGAGGCTCCCCCAGTTGCCTGCTATGATTTCCAGCCTCATTACCATGGCCAGGAACTGAACTACAGGTTTGTTTTTATGAGCTTCTCCAGCGCTCTGCCAGCTATTCATTTGAATCTTCTAAACAGTCAGCTCTGAATCATAATGCAAATTCCATTTACTGAAAAGGTGGTACCTTTAATATTCCAAATGACCACGTTTAATGACTGATACTTTTAGACATTACAGCATCTCTCATGTTTTCAGTAAATGGATATAATTTGCTCTGCATTACCCTATTATTATTCCTCGCTGGCATTACAAGGCGACGTTCTCAGCTGCGGGTGTTTTCCATTTGAAGGCGGCCCAAACAACACAATTTGAGAGGCAGCTGCCTCTGTACCCTCAGCTAAAAACGCTGCAGGACCCAGAGGAAAACTGGATGGGGATTTTATTCCTAAAATGTGTCTAGTGCTCCGTCAGGGCCGCGCTGCTGCGGCGTTGTGGCGCTGTTTGTGTTGGAGGGGTGTCCACGGGTGCTTTTCACTTCAAAGGAGAGGAAAGGCTGTTGTGTATAATCAGGAGAACTTCCTCGCTCTCCAGCCTGACACATCTCCCGCTTGGAATAAAAGCCAGAAGTGGGTCAGCTTTGGGACTCTCCTGAAAATCAGGAATCCCTGTGTGGAACCAGGTCACGGCTCGGGTGTCACATGGGAACAGAGGGAGGGGAAAGTGGTGAGGAAGGGGCAGCAGTCCCTGACTTCTGAGGGTGACCAGAGCACAGATTGCTCCAAAATGAGACCTCCTGAAGTTCAGGAGGTGCTGCCCTGGCACTAAATTGTCCTGGAATAATGCTGGAATACCACAATGCCCCATTACAGTTTTGAAGACAAATTAAAGAAAAAGAAAATACATAACAAAACACCACTTGAATTCACACTGGAAATGTGACAGATTTTCATCCCTGACCTTAAAAAAAAAGAGAGAGGCTGCTCCTTCTCCTGAGCTTTTTCTGAGCCCCAACTCACTGGCTTCTCTTTAGGGGTTTGACCCAACCTCCCTGAAGTCTCCTCACCATTCCATTAGTTTATTTTAGTGCTTCTCTTGAAATTGATTTGATTTAGGATTAGGGAGTGAAGTTTTAAAGGATATTCTGCTGATTATTTTGGGGTGAAACTTTGTGCACCTGCCCACTCACAGGCAGCATGTCAGGTGCTATTTGCAGCTTCCTAATATTTTAATGTAGTCCACTCTACGTCAGCTTCAACTCTTATTTGTTATTTATGCTCCAAAAGCCTTTTTATTTCTACCAGTAACTACTGGTTCTGGCAGAAATAAATCAGATTTTAAACCCCTCTGTCCTGCCTGGTCTGTCCATATTGCAGGAGACAACAAGTGCCGTGACTGTTGAATTTTGAGAGGAAACAAGGTCAGAGAAAGAGCCTTCAGCAGGTCAGGAACCTATGGAATTTTTAGATCTAAGCGTGAATTATTTGTATTTTTAGCCTCTATTTTAGACTCTCTCTGTTGCAAAAATCAGTTTTTGCAGAGAGTGCTGGGGAGCCCTGAGATGACCACAAGCTGAAAATTCTCATTTTACACTGAAAATCTGCCACTTAAACCTAACCACGGGTAACATCGTGCTGCCTAAATTAGCAAGGGTGGCTTCCAGAGTCAAAATATCACTCTCTGGGTGGCTTTTGATATTTTGTTTCCCAACGGGATTTCACCGCTTAAAAATCAGCGGGACGCGGGAAACCGGGCGGAAAGGCGGAAACCCGTCCCGCGCCTTTGGAATGGAACTGTGCTGGGTTTTCCAGCGTTCCCTGGTGGGTAACAACTCCCAGCTCCTGTCCGGGGGCAGGAGATGGAGTTGGAGATGGAGTTGGAGATGGAGATGGGGATGGAGATGGAGATGGAGATGGAGTTGGAGCCCACGTACCTCTGCCGCTCCTGCCCACGAAGCGCAGGTCGTTGAAGCGCGCCACCTGGTTCTTCATGGCGGCCGTGGCGTTGCGCAGCTCCGCCGAGTAATTCTCGTCATTCCCGGCCATCACCGTCACCAGGGTCCCGTCGGGGACGTCCCCCAGGGCCACCACCTGCGCCGGCAAGAGCAGAACCCTGAGTTTGCTTTGTTTCATTGAGAGGTCAAAGCAGGGAGAAGAAGCCGCGGTGAAAATCTGGGTGGGCCAAGCGGGTGTTGGGAATCATTCCAGATCTGCTGGGATGGGAATTCTCTTCTTCCCCCCAAAGTGTTATTCTCTTTGTTATTCTCTAATCAAGGATTTTCAATTTGATTACAGAAATTGAGCTCTGAAATTATAAATCCCACGCCTGCACGCTGCTGAATGGTAGCGTGGTGGTCGATTTGTTGCTGCACTGAAGTGTTTTCCTACCTGGATAAAAAATTCTTCTCCCCTGGAGAAGAATTTAAAGAAGTTCTTAAAAAATCCTACAAAACCTGGATGCATCCAACATCTCATAGACAAAAACAGGGAAAAGGGAAAATCAGGGCATTCCCCTGCCATGCAAATATTGAATTTAAGGGAATTTATGCCAGGATTTTGAGCTTTCACAAAGTTTCTCAAGGGTCCAGGGCCAGTTGTCTCTGACAGAAATACTTTAAAGCTTTCAAATGCCAACTTTGGTGACAAGAAACGGGAAGAAAAATCTTAATTCCCAGGAGAACTCCAGAAAATTTCTGGAGAACCAAAGCTCTTAAGATACTGAGTTTTAAAAATATCATTATATTACCATAACTTTTATTCTTTAAAATATCATTATATTACCATAACTTGCGTTCTTTAAAATATCATTATATTACCATAACTTATATTCTTTAAAATGCACCTTTTTTTACTCCTCATCGTGGATTTTTACCATTTTAAACCTGATTTTTCCCAATGGTTGGACAGAAATTTTTCCTCCTTGATGCGCCTCTGAAACACCCAGCAGGATGTGAAATGAAAAAAATGCTCTGAGATGAAAAATACAGAAAATGAGCTTTCGAAAATCTCTGTAATTGTCAATAAATAAATTCAAGTAGCAGCGCTCGATGGTTTGATTTATATCAGGAGCTCTTAACAGAGCTGCCCAAGCAGAAATCCAGAGCAAGGCTGTGGAAAATCAGGCCTCAATCAAACGTTTAATCCCAATTTACTGAACAATTTCTTTCTTTCCTTCAGGAGCATAAAGCAAATAATTTTCAGGCCTCGCCCTTGAGTGGATGGATGGAAATCATGACCTGAACTAAGGACTTTTCCCTTTCCCCAAAATATTTGTGCTCCTTGGTGCCAGAATCCATCAAACCTTTGGGAACACAGGATTCGCTAGGATTTTGATGAGAAATATAAAGATTTCTGTACTTTAAGATTCTGATTTTTTTTTTTAACTGTTCACACTGGTTTAATGGTGAAAAATTTAATTTTTCTTGTAGCTCCTTGGATTTCCCAACCAAATTCAACCTGCTGGAACTCCACGGACATCTGGGATCTCTCTCCGCGTCCTCTGCCAAAATTCAGAGCTTGAATTATTTTGTCTGATTTTCTTTAGAACCCATCGCTGTTTCCCCAATTCCATGGCACCACCACCACAGAAACGCCCCCAAACCCCCCAAAAAAACAAACCCAGAGATGAAAATCCAGCTCGTTTTTAATTCCTCTTTTGCCTCTGGAAGAGGAACCGGCCCCGCATTGCGTCCTCGCAGTTGCAGCTCGAGATTTTCCTTCCTCTTAACGTTTTCTGACTTCAGCCCAGGCAGTTACAATTGGCTGAAGTTTGTCACAACCTGACTTTATTTCTCTTTTCTGATCTGTTTGCTCTTTAAAAACAGGATCAGCAGCTCCTTTTGCTCGATCCGGCCCTGGTTTTTATTCCCTGGCCACGGCCACCTCCCAAAACATGAGAGAATTCCCCATTTTCAGGTATTTCCCAGCTTTTTTTTCCCCACTGGAGGCTGAGCTTTTCACTTCTGTCCTCTCCCTTTGCTCACCCCTAACCCTGATTTTCACTTCCACATGCAAAGCTAAAATCTCTGGGTCAAAATTCCCTCTTTACATCTTGATTTCAGCTTCCTCTTTCCCCGTTCCTCCCCAGCCCTGATTTTTGGGTTTTTGTTCTCCTCTCTGTGCTGTAATTTGGTTTTTTTTGGGCCAGCACTCAGCTCGGCTTTTCAGATTTCCCTGATTTTGGCAGAAATGAGGCCCTGCTGGAAATGCTGAAGCTTGGAAATCCTCACAAAATCAGCAACTCTGCAGCCAGTTCTTAAAAAAATCCTACAAAACCTTTATGCATCCAACATCTCATAGACAAAAAACATGGAAAAGGGAAAATCAGGGCATTCCCCTGCCATGCAAATATTGAATTTAAGGGAATTTATGCCAGGATTTTAAGCTTTCACAAAGTTTCTCAAGGGTCCAGGGCCAGTTGTCTCTGACAGAAATATTTTAAAGCTTTGAAATGCCAGCTTTGGTGACAAGAAACGGGAAGAAAAATCTTAAAAACGAGTTGAAAACTGGCCCAGCCCAGAAAAGAAACTGGACTTGAAAGTCACAGACAATAGAAACAGAAATACAAATATTTACATTAGAAAAAAGACTAAACAGATAAGCTGGGACTTGTCACTGGAGTTATCAAGGACTTGCTTGTACTTTTTACCTCTAAAATTTGTATTTCCCGAGGAGCAAGAAGAATATCAGGCTTGCAGTGCTGTGGAGTATCTAAATTTACTTCTCCTGCATCAATTCATCCAAACTGGCCTCTTAAATGAAGATTTGGATCCCTAACAGCATTTGAACAATGAATTTATATGGCACCTTATTGGTTATTGCGAATTATTTTTTAAGTTCCTCAGAATCATTCCTAAATTTAGGAAAAACCAATGAAAATTGATCACTTGGGTTTGGAATAATATCCCAATCCTGCAGATTTTTTAGTGGATTTTTCTAAATGTGAGGAGAAAACCTCTCTGCCTGCCTCTTTTTATTCCTACAATGAATAAAAATAACAAACACTTGATGAACCCCAGCTCATTTTGTCAGCTGCAAACTAAAATATTGCCAGCAGAGGAATGATCTGAGGTGAATTTTTTTTTTTTTTTCCCTGGGCCAAACAATCTGAAAAACGCTGATTTTTTAAAAATGGCTTTGCAAATAGTTAATATGTAGAAGAAAACCACTGAGATGTGGCAAATCCTTTCGGGGTTTATTTCTGAGCCGTGCATGGAGAGAGAATTTGGGAGTGATGAAGATGAAGAACACGGAGGCAGCAGGTGCCTCCCAGCCCACCCTTCCAGCCTCTCCTAATGAAAGCTCCTCCTAATTTTCGGGTGGGTTTGATCATTCATTTTTATTTTTTTTAATTTTATTTTCCGGCTGTTTATTTCCGGGCGGAATTATCCCGGTTTTCCAATCTCCTGGAGAAGCGGAGTTTGGAGCGGGGTGAGCGCTGACACTGCTGGGGGACAGAGGAGGGAAAGCGGCTGCGGGAATCTCTGAAACCCCCGGGAATTTTTTATTTATTTATTTTTTTTTCCAAGGGAAATTTCCACATCATGGCTGCATTCCCAGGGAGGGGGAAGAGCCACCTCTCCTGTCCTTCCTCCGGGATGTCACCCGGATTGGGATCCCCCAGGAAAAAAATCGGGATTTCTCTCATCTCCCTTCCCGGCGGGGCGCAGCGCTTTTCACTCCCGGATTTTTCCAGCAGGAAAACTTCCCGGCTAATTACGAGCCCGGTGCGTGGGGACGAGTGTAATAATTAATCTAAATGTGGGAATTTAGGAAGTGACCCCGTGATCGGTTCCTCCCTTTGCCCCGCTCTTATCTGCGGAAAACGAGAGCAGACACAATAAAACTTTTCCCTCCTCAGCAGGAATTCCCGAGGCTGAGCTGATTCCCTTCTCCCTCCTTTCTCCTCTCCCCAAAACACAGGAAAAGCTCCGGTCTGGTGGCCTTCAACACACACACACACATATTAAAAAAAAAAAAAAATTAGTTATGCTGAAGCAGCCGGGGTTTAGTGACCGCAAAAAAAGCTCGGGCTTGGCAAATCCCGATCCTAACTCAAGCCCCGGGGCTCCCAGGAGCTGCGTGTCCGTGCGGCTCCCGGCTCGGATAAAAGGAGAAGAATTCCCTTTTCCACCCCTCGCTCGAGAGCCAAATTTCAGAGAAAACAGCGAGTTCAGGGAGTCAGCCACAGTCCCGGGTCAAAAAAGGAGCGGGGGCGAGGGGAGGAGGAATTTACTCCAAGGGAGAGGGGTTTTACTCCAAGGGGGAAGGATTTACTCCAAGGGGGAAGAATTTACTCCAAGGGGGAAGGATTTACTCCAAGGGGGAAGGATTTACTCCAAGGGAGGAGGATTTTACTCCAAGAGAGGAGGATTTTCCTGCGAGCCGGGTAACGGGAAGGGAGGAAAGCGCCACAAGCATCCCCCGCACTGCTCGGGACAGGCGGGAGCCGGGGATGTTCTCTCCCATTCCCTCTGCCCTTCTTTTCCCGGATTTTCCCCCTTTCTTTTCCCGGATTTTCCCCCCTTCTTTTCCCGGATTTTGCTTGGATTCAGCAAGGGACTCTGCAAACGCGGGGAGAATTCCCAGCGGGCTGCCCGGGTTAGGCCGCGACTTTTGCTGTTGTTGAACCGGGCCGGTAAAAGAGGAAATGCGGCGTTTGGGGTTGTCGCCGGGCTGTTCTGTGGCGTTTTGTGCCTCGGTTGTTTTCTGGTGTTTTGTCCCTCCGAGAGTCCCTGGCAGGGGAAAGTCCCGGGGCTGCGGGCGGGTGTCCCCCGGGGGTGGCAGCGGGACAGAGGGACACAGGGACAGAGGGACAGAGGGACAGAGGGACACAGGGACACAGGGACACAGGGACACGGGGACAGAGGGACACAGGGACAGAGGGACAGAGGGGCACAGGGACACGGGGACACGGGGACACGGGGACAGAGGGACAGAGGGACACGGGGACACAGGGACACAGGGACACAGGGACACAGGGACAGAGGGACACAGGGACCTGCCACCACCCTGGGCAACTTCTGGGGGATCCCGGGGCTCCTCCAGCTCCGGACTGCCCTTGTCCAGCTGCGGCATCTGCGCCAAACCCCGCGGGGCCGGATTCTGGATATAAAATGCATTTATTTCTGTTTTTTCACCCTGAGCAGAGTCGCCTGTCACTGCCTGAGCTCTGAGCGGGGAGAAGAGGGAGGCAGAGGCTGCAGGGAGATTTTCCCGGCCCTTGGCATTCCCCTGATCCTGCCCCGAGCGCGGCCGGGAAGGATGGAGAGAAAGGGGAAAGGGATGGAAAGAAGGAGGGAAAGGAAAGGATGGAAAGAAAAAGGGAAGGGATGGAAAGAAGGAAAGGGTGGAAGGAAGGAGGGAAAGGAAAGAATGGAAGGAAGGAATAAGGCAAGGAGGGAAAGGAAAGGAAAGGAAAGGAAAGGAAAGGAAAGGAAAGGAAAGGAAAGGAAAGGAAAGGAAAGGAAAGGAAAGGAAAGGAAAGGAAAGGAAGAAGGAGGGAAAGGATGGAAGGAAGAAGGAAAAGTAAAGGATGGAAGGAGGGAAAGGACGGAAGGAGAGAAGCGCGGAGCGAGCCGGGAGCAGATCCAAGCCCCCATCCCCGCATCCTTCCCGGGCTGTTTCCCCCCCATCCCCACCCGGCACCTACCTTGAAGGCGATGGGCAGCGTCTTGTTGCAGCGCCAGTGCGTGGGCAGCACGGAGCAGAGGAAGTTGGGGCTGTCGGTGCGCACCAGCTCCCCGGGGTGATCCGCCAGGACCTCCACCATGCTGCGGTCGGCGCCGCGCAGCTTCCCCGGCAAAGCCCCGCCGTGCTCGGCGCCGGGCAGCGCCAGCGGCTCGCTCATCTTCCCCGGGCTCAGCGCGGTGGAGGGCGGCGTGAAGCGGCGGCTGGTGCTGGTATCTACGGGGATACGCATCACAACAAGCCTTTAGAGCCACACGACACCTCCGCTGGGTTCCTAGCGAGCGGCCACGCGAGCGCAGCTCCTCAGCGAGCCGCTCTCGGGGCACCAACATAAACGGGAGCCCCGCTCCCGGCGCTGCCAAGCGCCCCGAGTCAATTTGGGGTTTGCTGGCAGCCTCAGCCCTCGGCTCGCTGGCCCGGCGGAACAGATCCCGTTAATCCGATAAACCGCGGAAAGCGAGCGGGGCCAAAGCTCATCCCAAAAAGTAAAAGCAGGGAGGAGAGCGAGCAGCGAGGCGGTCGGGAACGCGCGCGGAGCCTGCGCTGCCCGGGTCCTTCCAGGTGATTGCTCTCTCCCGGTCCCGAGAGAAACCAAAAGGCGCCGGCGTCTTCTGGAGGCAAAAATCGCTCTTGGAGGGAAATTCGGGGCTGTTCCTCGGAGGAGGCGGATCGAGAGCTCGGCTTGCTGAGCAAAGGTCAGCTGGCTACAACTGGGTAGAAATTCACGGCCACACACTCACGCACACGCACATCTACCGGACTTCATCAAATATTTACAATAGAATCTGTAGAGAATTTAAACACAACAGGAATCCATTAATGTTCTCCGCCAGATTTTCTTTTTCTTTTCTTTTTTTTTTTTCTTTTCTTTTAAAGCAGCCTTGAAAATGAGCTTCAGTAGTTTGCTTGGCGTTGCTCTAAGAGCGCTCGTGTCATGACCTTTCAATCATTCTTGCGCAAAAATAAAATAAAAAAAAAAGAAAAAAAAAAGAAAAGAAAAGCTCAGTGCATGGCATTCAAGCTTCAAATCTCTATCTTTGGTATAACGCCTTTCATTCATTTAAAGAAAAGTCAGAGCCGATCGCAAGCGCCGGAGCTGAGAGGTCCAACAGCTGCAAACTCGGGGTTGGGGATGTTGGTTAAATTGTGGGTTCTCTCTGCGGTTTTGTGTGTGCAACAGCGCTCTCTCTCTCCCGCTCACGTCCTCCTCAGCAGTCAAACCAACAGTCTGCAACAACTTCGGCGCTCGGTGCCAATTATCTTTTTTTTTTTTTTTTTTTTTTTTTTCTTTCAGTATCTCAGGCAGTCTTCCTCTAATTCGGCCACAGGAACCGGCTGCTTAACAATATTTGAACCGCAGCAGGTGGAAGGCTGCTTTGGCAAACACGGCTTTCCTCCCTCTCGTCCTGCGGGATGGAGCCCGCCGCGCACACAGAAACCCAAAATCACCGGCGACAGCAGAAAAATAAGAATTAAAAAAGCGAAAAAAAAAAGAAAAAAAAAAGAAAAAAAAAGAAAAAAACCCTTCCCGCTCAGGGAAATCTCTACTTTTGAACGGGTGCAATCTTTTCCTTCCGCGAAACGAGGCGGCGGCGGGCGGGGGTGACCCCAGAGCGGCGGCAGCGGAAAGCGGCGATCAAAGCCCGGAGTTGCCGGAGCTCCAGCGGAGCTTCCCGCGGGCACGGAGAGTTCCTGCCGGGCCGGGCCGGGCCGGGCCGGGCCGGGCCGGGCCGGGGTGGGATGGGGCGGGATGGTGTGCGCGGGGCGGGCGCGCCCGGCCGGCGGCCGCCGGGCTGGCTGGAGGTGGCCGGCAGCGAGTCGGGGCGGCGGAGGCGTGCGGAGGAATGTCATTCCCCCGGTGCTTTGCATACGGGGAGGGCACCGGCCAATCACGGCCCTACCGGGGCGCGGCCGCGGGCCGGGGGCTCCCGGAATCGGCGGGGACGCCGCGACCGCGCCTGCTCCCCCGGGGCTCCCGGACAGCGGCAGCGCCGCTCCTGCGACCCCCGGCCGTGCCCGTGAGGCTCAGCCTGCCCGGCCCGGTGCCCGCAGAGCCGCAGACACCGCCCCGCCACCGGCCCCGCTCCTCCCCGGGCCAGCTGCCGCCGCTCTCTGCTCCGAGGCTCTGGGGGGGCACCCGGGGGTCCCGGACGCGGCCAGCGCCGCTTTGGTGTCCCCGCCGCTCCCTCGGTCCCTCTGGTTTGTTGGGGCGGTGGCGGCGCTCCCAGCCAGGGCCATCCCCGCCAGCCTTCCTCCTCCTCCTCCTCCTCCTCCTCCTGCGCGCAGCCCAGCGCGGGGACAGCAGCGCCGGGGACAGCTCGGGCACAGCCACACGGCCACCAGCGGGTCGCGTCGCCAGCCGCCGGTCGCTGTGAGCCGCGGAGCCGGGAGCGAGGATGCTGGGGGGAGGTGGGGCTGCCGGCTCGGGCTGGGGTTTTTTGCTTTCGGTGGCTTTTAAAATTTTTTTTTATAATTTTGTTTTTTTAAATTTCTACACTCGCCGATTCCGCGAGCGTAACCCAAACCGGGAACGGGGGGGATCCCGACCAGTCCCCGCCGCGCTCTCCGCGCTGTCTTTGCGCTTCCCTCCGCCAACTCTCACCCTGCTCGCCCGCCGCATCCCCACCCGCCAGCCCCGGGCGGCGGAATGGATGGATGGATGGATGGATGGATGGATGGATGGATGGATGGATGGATGGATGGATGGATGGAGGTGGTCTCAGGGACCCCCGGGGCCGCTCCGGTCGGGGCCGCGCCAGGGGCGGCGGGGGCGCGCTGGGTGCAGTTCCCGCCGTGGCCGCTGGAGGGCGCGCGCCGCCCGCCAGCCGAGCGGCACCGGGGGGGGGGGGGGCTCGGGGAGAGCCCGGGATTGAGGACCGGGATTTGGGATTTGGGGTCGGGATTTGGGGTTTGGGGTTGGGGTTTGGGGTCGGGATTTGGGTTTGGGAGCGGCCGCTGCGGCCTCGGGAGCTGCGCCCACCGCGGTCCCTCCTGAGACCTCCCGCATCCCCGGGACAGCGCTCCGGGATTTGGGGTCGGGATTTGGGATTTGGGATTTGGGATCCAGAGCGGCCACCGCAGCCTCGGGAGCTGCTCCCACCGCGGTCCCTGCTGTCCCCACAGCAGCTGAGACCCCCACGGGAGCAGGGCATGCTCGCCTGTGCCGGGAGCCGCTTTGGGGACGGGTTTTGCCTTTGATGCTGCGGCGTTGAACGCAATTAAACCGAAATTAAAACATCATTAACGCGGCGGGGAGAGCTCGGCTCCCGCTGCGGGGACAGGGATGCGCCGGGATCCCGAATTCCCGGCAGGAGCGAAGCTTTTCCCTCATCCCCCGGCTCCGGTGTCGCTGTCCCGCTGTCCCTGTCGCTCTGTCCCTTGGGGGGCACCCAGGGATGCCCATCCTGGCACTGCCCGGGGGCATTTTCGCGTCCTGTCCCCCCAAAAAGCGCCCGCCCGCCGCACTCGCAACAGGTCCCTGCTTTTGAACAGCCGAATTTGGCGCTTGAACTATTTCAAGCCAAGTTCCTAAATTTTTTTCTAAGTTTAAAAAAAATTTCTTAATTTTATTTTCTTTTTACCCCGTGTTTTCCACTTTTTCTCTCCCAAATTGAATTTTCTTTTCTATTTTAAGGGGGAAAAAAAGGAGAAATATGCAGGAGAACGGCAGCTGCAAACCCCAGCTCAAAACCCATCTGGGCTCTATTAGTGGCTGATGACTTTTTACGGGCACGGCAGAGATAAGAGGAGTTATTTTACTGATGTGCATCCATCTGCTAAAACATGAAAAAACAGCGTTTAATTTTTTTTTTTTTTGGTTTTTTTTTTTTTTTTTGTTTTAGTCAAGAGCGGGGGAGGATTTTCTATTTAAATTCATTAATATTTTCGGCTGAGTTTCACTCCCTGCTTTGCATCTCGGCTCACTTCGAGCTCCCTGTAAACACGAAATAAACGCGAAATAAACGCGAGATAAACGCGAAATAAACGCGAAATAAACACAAACGCGCCCCAGAAAACGCCACGATTTAGCAGAAAATCCACAACATTTCCATTTTTTTCCCATAAAATCCCGGCGTTATCAGGATTTAACGTGGGTTAGAGGCGACAATTTTCTATTTCACTGCTCGGAAGGGAAGGTGAGGAGTTAAATCAGAGCGAGCAGCCAGGGCAAACACCGCGGGGAGGAGATTTTGGTATTTTGGTGCAGATCGAGCTGTTTATTTTACAGCCCCATTAGCACCGCCCGCACCTGGCTGCGTTCGGTTTTATTTGGGTTTTTTACTTCTTTTTTTTTTTTTTTTTTTTTTTTTTTGCAGTTTAATGGGGTTTTTTTGTGGATTTTTTTTTTTGCCGATTCTATTCATCCTCTCCATTCTAATTTAATTTTTGCGTGATAAAGAGAGCAACCCTCAGTGATGCTGATTGTCCTCGTGTTGCTCGGGAAAAATGGGAATGAAGCAACTTTGGGGAATGGGAAATGATGCTAAACTGATGCTGCTTCTCCCAAAATGGGGTTTTTAGCACCCCTAAATTTAAGACAGGGTTTTGGGATCGCTTTGGGAATTGTTACAACTTCCCCAATTTGTATTTTGACACCAATTTATTGGGGAAACAAACCCCAAGGGAATTTCCATCCTCCACGGAATCCTCGAGCACAAAATCGGGATTTTGTGCTCCCACACCGCAACCAGGGAAAGCTTTGGAAGCGCCAGAGAGAGGCAGCAACAATTTCGGGGGGAATTTTAACAACACAGGTCAATATTCCCTGGCCAAGTTTTTCCCTTTTGCACCTGAATTCTTTTAGTTTATGCCCCAAAAATCCCTGATCCTACAAATAATTCATTCATGGAGCTGCTGGTTCACTGCTAGAAGCAAAACACGCTTAAAACACCATTATAAATGTAATTTTATCGCGTTGTTGAATTATCCCTGCAAGTATTTATTGCTTTGGAGCCACTGCCTGAGCTGAAAAAAAATTCCTATAAATTAAATAAATTATTTGGGGGTTTTTAATGAAATACTGCACGGGGAAAAGGGGACAGACAAGAAAGGAAAAGATGATTTTTGTCCTGATTTCCTGCGCTGGTGTCTCACACCCAATGGGAAATCACCCAAAATGCCACCAGGAATGGGGTGGGACGGGTGGATGGGAATTCCCTGACTCCCGAGCATCGGGAAGTGCCCCAATCCCTGCAGGGATTTTGGCTTTGATCTCTGTGACAGCCCCAAATC